ATCACGACCAGATCAGTTTTAGGGACGTGACAATAGGTTGACTTTTGGCTATCGGGTTCGAAAATTAGATTTGGTACTTTGAATAGGTTCTATAAGGTATTTAGAACTTGTCTGTATTAGTGACATTTGGAGTTCATTTGATAGTATTCCGATGCTTTGTTGCAATTCTAGAAGTTTTTGAACTTTACTTTGAAATTCATGCGTTTTGGTGTCTGATTCGTAGTTAAAGAAGTTATTTTTGTGTTTTGATTGCACCACCGAGTTCGTTTAATGCTTTTAGACTTGTGCAGATGTCTGGTTTGGAGAATCGATGAGTCAGATGAGTTTTAGATGTGTAGTGGAATAGTTTGGACTGAAAATAGAATTGTTATTGTATTGGTGCTCTGATATTGCAATTGTGGGCACCAGCCTCACAATTGAGAAGGGGACAGGGGGTGGTCAGATGTCGCAAATGCGACTCTTCCCCTCGCATTTGCGAAGTTAGCAGGCATGTGATGGGTTCGCAATTGCGAACAATTGATCGATTTTGTGGAAGGTGTCAGCTTCACAATTGCAAAGACGGTCGCAATTGCAACTTCTGAGGAGTTTGTCAGGATTTGCAATTGTGATCCCATTTGCGAGGTTTCATAAATGCGAACTCAGTGTCGCAAATACGACATCTGCAGCTCAATAAAAGGGCTGGGAGTTGGGATTTTTTTATCATATTCTCTCATTTAGAACCCTAGACTCGATAGAAGACAATTTGGAGAGGGGATTTTCATCTACAAATATTAGGTTAATGATTCTAATCAATTTCCAACTATATTTCAAAATTATATCTTAGATTTAACATCTAATTTATGTGAATCAAAGAGAAAAATCAGGGATTTTTGTCAGAGTAGTGAAAAACAAAGATTTGAGTTCTTAGAGTCGATTTTGACTCGGATTTGAGAACAAAACACATATATGGACTCGTGGGGTTATTGGTAGTCTGAATCTACCCTTGAACTTGGGGTTAAGTTTTTGGAAAAGGTGTAAAAATCATAGTTTTATGTATTGTAGGTTATATCTCTTGCATTGTTTGATGTTATTAAGTCATGTTTTGTTAGATTAGAGCCGTGTGGAGGCAAATTATAGGGGAAAAGCTATATTCCAGGGTTGATTTTTGGCCTAGTTGAGGTAAGTATCTTGTCTAACATTATGTGGGAGAACTACACCTTAGGATTTGGGTTTATTGTGCAATTTGTGTTATGTGAAAGTCGTGTACCAAAGGTGACGACTGGGTAGATGGGCTATAGGTGGTATTTGACTGGTTTAGGTTATTTAGACTCTTTCATGACATTAATTGAAATGTCATAACATGTTATTTCCCTCATTGTTAGTCTACTCTTACATGTGTTTATTTACTTACATGTTATATTTGACATTGTTAACACTTGTTCTACCTCTTACTTGTTATTTTGCTCTTATATGCTTTAGTTGAAGTAATTGCCTTCCTTATTGTCTTGCTACCTCTTAAATTGTTCATGTGAAGTTGTTAATTGTTGAGATATCTTTCTTGTTGAACAATACATTCATTTTGTTGTTGTTGAGATTCTTGTACACTTTGTAGTTGAGCCATAGGCTATTTGTTGTGGAAACATTGGGATTGTTGATTCTTTTCGCAAGTTGTAGCATATGAGCACTTGTGGTGCGAGTTGTGATTAGATTGTGATATTGATGTAAGGCCTCATACAAATTTCACCTTGAACCCGGGGTTTCATGGTGCCAAGGTAGGCTAATGTGTTTGAGAATTGTAAAAATTCTTTGCGGCGAGCTTGCTCACTATGGTATCGACTTTTTGGGTTGTATAGTACATTGGGGAGTTGGAAGAACATTTTTGCAGAACAGAGCATTCCTGCGGTCCACTAAGAGACCGTAGAATCACTTTGGGGACCGCAGATCAATCGTAGAATGCGATAGGGACCAAGCCAAATTTTGAAGAGAGTTATGCGGTCGATTATGCGGCCGCATAATCATTTTGCGGGCTGCACAATGCGTCACATTTTCAGCCTGAAGATTTGCGGAGGGGGATTTTGTGGCACTGTATGCGACCGCATAACTGCCCTACGGGTTGTATAACGGCCGCATACTTGACCATGCCAAGCCTAGTTATGGGACCATTTTGGGGTCCCATTTGCGGGCTGCATACTTGTTTTGCAGTCAGGTCTGCGACCGCATACCCGATTTTCTAGGCTTAAATTTTGAAAATTTTTACTCGATCCCATTTTTATAAAATGACTTTGGTGGTCATTTGGGCTGGTTCAAACTGCTATTATAGAGAGAGGAGAGAACTCAAGAGTGAGAGGAGGAATCTCCAAGTACCTTGTTCATCAATCCTTGCTCAAGCATTGAAATTCAACACGAAAAACTCATAAGGTCTTCATCTAAGAGGTATGATTTCACACCCTAGTCTTAAATTTTGAGTTTGGACAGAAGTTGGGTAATCTGGAGTGTGATTCTTATGCATAAGAGTTGTTATTTATGCATGCATGTATCAATGAGGATGGTGGGGACGTCATGGATCTAACATGGGTAAACTCTTGGTACTGAATTGGTTCTGGGATGAACGAAATCTTGTAGAAGAACCTTGTAGTCAAATTTTCACACATAGTGTTTGATTAAATGGTCAAATGTGTTGAACCCATGAATTTCTTTCTAATTATAGTTTAATTTTGTTATGTCTCTAAATATATTGAAGTTGCTAGGATTTTTGGTTTATAGTAGTAATTTAAGGAAAGCTCAAAGCGAGGTATGTTGGCTAAACTTCTCTCTTAGAATCGAATCCCTTGGTGTTCTCCTATGTTTCAAGTGTGAAGGGCCAAGCTCTTATTTCTCATGTTCCGAGTTATTTCTTATAAATTTGACTATTCTAAATAAGTTTGTTTTGAAAGATATATACTAAAAATATATGCCAAATGCTCCAATCATATTATGTTCTCCTTCGGAAATGTATTCAAATGTGACCAATGTTGTCGAAATATTATGATTTCAATCATGTTTCAATTGCAAGTTATTACGCCAAATTGTGAAAGAAAACTTAATGTATTTAAAACTCTTGTTGCCCATATATGAACTTAAAAGTCGTGATTATAAATGCCTATTGTTGATAATCCATAATGATGTTTGAAAGTGAAGGAAGAGAGTATAAAATATGAAATACGGCAGACATGCCAAGAACGAAATTATACTTATGGCCGCTAGTGCCAACGAAATGAAATGATGTGTGAAAGATTATGAAATGATCTTCAATTAATTTATATAATAAATGTTTTCGGAGTATCGTTATTCACCGAGGAAGGCTAGGCTGAATTAACCTAACCCCGAAACTACACGTGCCTATGTAGGAGCGATTGAGGGTTAAATGCGTGTATTGATGTGATGAGATTATTTCCCTTAATTGGGATGAGATTGATATGATGATATTATTACCCTTAATTGGGATGAGATAATCGCTAGTGGAATGTGATGTCGACCCACACGACATTGTGATGATGTCGCTTAGCCGATCAGGATGAGATCGGACGCCACACTGCGCACATGGTGGTTTTGTGTTTGGATGTCTCTATGTGAGATGGCTTAGCCAATCGGGCCCAGATCGGACTTTATGCTAAAAACATGGTGGTGTATCGATACAAAAGATCTCCCAACCTAAAACATTGTTATTTACTTGAAATTTATTTTTCTCCTAACTTGACATTGTTATATTGTTTGAGGCTCTCATTTATTCCATGTTCTTTTCTATTGTACTGTTAATCGTTCTATTGAGATGTTGCTTAGTCTTACAAACTAGTACTATTCCATATGTGTCAACGCCCCTTTTTGCCCGGGGTACTACATCTTTAATGGATGCATGTGGTTCTACAGCAGGCCGCATCAATCAGTGATAGCGGTACACCCTCTTCCCAACTGACTTGGTAAGCCTCACTTTATTTCGGGGTCTTGTATCTTTTGTCCTTGTGTATAATGTTTTGAGGTATAGCTGAGAGCTTGTTTCCAGTACCATCATAGTACTCTTTTATATCTGTTAGAGGCTCCGTAGGCATAGTGAGGGTTGCATTTTGGATTTGGGAAAGTTGAACTAAAGGTGTTGTATTTGTATCACACGTTTCCACTTATAAACTATGAATGTATAATGTATTTTGGAAATTATAAACGAAGTAGCTAATGGTGATGAAATTGTGTTGTTCACGTGATCTTCTTATTGTCAAATTAATGGAAATACACCTTCACTTTATTCATGGGTAAGTTCGGGTAGAAGGCATTTAATATGCTTGCTTGATTAGTGTATCATAGTTGAGCGCTGGTCGCACTCCCCGAGGTCGGGGCGTGACAACTAATATGCATATGTGAGCACGTAATTTTTTCCCTGTGAAAAACGCTCCTATAAAATCCACTAAAATAGATTTTTTCTAATTATTTTTATTTTTCATAGAATTTTTAGGAATTTCTTGTTAATTGTTGTTTGCATTTAGTTGCATATTTAATATCTTAAAATTATAAGAAAATACCAAAAAATATCTAAAATATTCATTGCATAGAATTTTAAGTTTTATTTGTATTTTAGGATTTAATTACGTTTATAATAAAAATAACAAAAAATACCATGGTCATTTTATATTTTTAATTTTTAGTCTTAAATTATTAATTTTCTTTCATTTGTTTTAAGTTAATTAATAATTTAATATTAGAAATAGTAAGTAGGGTAATTTTACAAATTAGATTTTAGTTAGGACTTAGTTTAGGATTTTATTTAATTTATTTAGGATTTATAAACCAAAAAAAAAAGAAAAAGAAAAGAAAGAAGGCTGCTTAGCCTTATTCGAAATTGGGCCAGGACTCAACGTCCTATTCTCCTTCTACTCGCTCCAGCCTTCCCCCATTACACCAAAATGCCACCATTTCATCCTAGTTTAATCTTAGCCATTAATCTCCCACCATCTAACGGTTGGGAACAAACCTCCCCTTCCCTTTATTACTGTTTGAGTGAGACCCTCCCCCCTTAAAACCCTAGAAACTCACACATAACTCGTCTCTCTCACCCCTCTCTCACTATCCGCCGCCTCCGCCGCCGGAAATCACCCTACGGCGACAGCCCATCGCCAAATAACCCCAAAACTTCACCATATAATCCCAAGATTCTTTCATCACCAATCTACCATTAATTCCCCTCAATTTCCATTAGAACTCCATGAATTTTAGATCTTAATCTAGGAAAAACCTAAATCCACCCCTTTTCAATTTTTTCTCAAAAATCCCAATTTGTTTGGGCTTAAAACCAATGTCAATCGACCGTTGTTGTTGAATGTTACAAGTTGGCTTGGTTGTGTCTCGTTTCAAGGTCGTCGTTCAACTCGCCACTAGCTGGTCAGTTTTGTGGAAAGCCACTGTAATTCTAGGTCCTTTTCCTTTTTCTTGGTTCATTTTTGTCATCTCTACTTGAAACACTGTCTACTCCCTTAAGCGTGAGTCAGTGTTCATGTTGTGATGCCTGACATCCTCCAGAATTTCCTTATGTTCGATGATATATTGGTAATCCTTTCCTCCTCCTTTTCATTCCCTGAATTAGCGGTTCTTTGTTTAATTATTACTTAATTATGAGTTCTTGTTTGACAACATGTTTAGTTCAATCATTAATTATTTTAATTGCCTAATTAGTTATTTGTCGAATTTGATGTTTGGTCAGTTTGTTGCTATAGTTTCAAATTGCATATTCATTTAACATGACAATTGGCTATTAATTCATGTTTAGTTGTGTTTGTTAGCTTGTTGATAGTTTAAGCTTAGTTACTTCCTGATTAATGCTATTAAGAGAAAGAAGTTTGGGAAAAAGAAGGGGTTAAATGAAAGATGGGTAAATGCAGGGATCTTGCAGGGTAGTTTAGGAATTGAAATTAAGGGAATGTTATATGTAACTATTTGAGAAAGTTCTAGAGACAGGACGAAGGATTAAAGTGCAATTAAAACCAGAAATTAGGTCAGATTTTGGGGTCAAAAGGGGAATTTTCAGAAGCTAAAAGGGTTGAAAAAAATATAGACGAATATCTGAATGGATAGCTGTTGGACAACTGTCCAATTCAGTTTTAAAAGATGCTCTTTTCTTAAAATTTAGGGACTGCATTCTTAGAATTATTCCCTTATCATTTGGGCACAAGGCAGATTTTATTTTCTCTATATAAGGCCTTCTATCTTCTTTCTCTCTCACACACACACGGAAAACCTCTCTGAAATACAGACTCATTTTCCTCATTTTTGAGGCGAATTTTGAGACTGATTTTGAGATTGAGGAAAACACTCAAAAAAACTTCCATCAAGCTAAGTTTTATTGTAGTTGTTTCTATCTGTTGATGCTGCTCTCGTTTAGTTGTAAAGTTAGGATCACTGTTTGGTTTTCTCTATTAGATGTCTCTCCATTAGTAGCTGAGCTTGTTTTCTTTGGATTCTAAACCTTTATTTGGTCATTTCTTTTGTTTCTTTGCTTGAGATATGTAAATCCTAAGCTTATTCTTTTATTTTGAATCATAGATGAAAATTTATTGAATATATGTTGGTTCTCACACTAACTAAGTGTTGTTTTGCCAAACTTTAAGTTCTATTGCTCTAATCTTGTTCTTGATCGATGTTTTGATGATGAATATGTTTTTCTCCGCTGAGATTTTGAGTTGGCTAATAGGCTATTGATGAATTTGAATGATTTAGAAAATCTATTTGTTGTTTTTCATGAATCTATGAGGGCTGTTTGAATTTCATTAAGTCTGTTTGTATTGGAGGTTTTGCTTGGCAGATTTTGAGCACTATTGAATTCATGTGAGTCATTCAACTATTCCCTGTGTTATTGTACGAGCTGCCAGATTGTGGAATTCATCTTATAATAACATTGGGATTCATAATTAATTAGTTCCAATCTTATAGCCTATTTTTTTATTTGAGTAGTTTCTTTTGGTCTCAATTTGTAATTAAGTGAACCTTCCTCCACTGAGTAGTGTATCTCAATCCATTAGTGCACTATTCAGTTAATTCAATTCAAATTAATATTACAGTTTCAAATGTAGAATTAAATGTAGCATTTTGATCCAGTAATGTGATTTTCATATCCCGATATTTGGAAGTTCGTCTAAATCGCTGCTAGTTATTGCCATTTAATTTGCTAGTTTCCAAACTTGTTTTGATGTGTTTATGGTAAGAATTTGGTAAATATTTATCATGTTCAGTCATTTAATTGTAAACACTATGTTGAATGTATCTATCTATTGCATCTAATTTCCTATGGGGTTCAACAGCCAAAGATTATATGAATCATGAAAAGATGAGTCTTGCTTTAATCTCTTTAAAAATATAGCTACTTTGTTTTCTTTTTTTTTTTGTTGGAAAGATAAATAGTATTAAACATAATTAAAGTTGCTACAGAGAGGGTGATGCTGTCGCATCTAAGTTATAGTTTATGTTTGGTTGATCATTACAGGGACTACTGCTATCAAAACTAACATTGTTATCTATCATGGTATCGCTAGAGGGAGCATCCATTTGTCGTTAATTGTCCCATTGTAGTTGTTGTATCCATGTTGTCTTCCTTAGGCGAGTGGCCTCTGCTCGATCCCTTTGTAAAAAGATTTTGACAAAATCCGGTGGTTGTTCAGAAATGGTTGCAGTTGTAGTAGAGTCGATGTTGCACCCCGCTTTTGCTAAGCCATCAGCCACCTCGTTCCCCTCCCTATAGGTGTGCATAATAGTAGGACTATGCAGCTTGTTTAGGAGGTGCCTGCAGCCATGAATTATATTAGTATAAAGGAGGTTATCTTGTCCCAACATCCTGATTACCTTTGTTGCATCGATGTTGATTTCCAGGGGAACCAAATGATATGTGTTTACCAATTCTAGTCCATAGAATAGAGCTTTTAGTTCTTCTTGAACTATGTTGGCACTGTCCAAATTTTCTGCAAAACCTATGATTCAATTTCCATTGGAGTCACATATTGCTCCTCATATTCCTGCTTTCTGAGTTAATGTTTCTACAGCCCCATCCGTGTTTAATTTATAGTAGTTTGGTTTAGGATGTATCCATTTAATGGGATGCATTGATGTTTGTTTTTTTATGGTTACTCTCACAGCGAGGTAGGTGAATTCAAGAGCATGATTAGTTACTTCTTTTTTAAGTGTTGAAGTATTTCTTGCACAATGGTAGTGTTATCTTAGGCTCTTTTCCCCTCTTGGAAACTGGATTGTATGAGTCCAATTAATTTTGGTAATAGAGGTTTTAACCTATTGACAATAATTTTTGTAATTATTTTGTAAGTTGTGTTACATAAGCTTATAGGTCGATATTGAGTGATTGCTACAACATTTTTTACTTTTGAAATTAGGCACAAATAAGTTTTGTTAATTTCTTCTAGTATTTTGCTTTCCTTGAAAGCATTATGGCAACATTGAATAAGTGATTGACTCACTTGTTGCCAATATGTTTGAAAAAAATATGGATGAAGGACATCCGGGCCAGGTACTTTAAAATGTTGAAAGAGAAGATTGCTTGCTTTATTTCAAGTAGGTACACTGGTTTAGCCAAGTATTGTAGATCATCGCAGTTTAATGAATTGATTATTGGGTAATTTTTCATGATATGCTTAGTGAAGCAGTGTTGTATTGTGAAAAGGTCAGTGTAGTATTGAATTATGGAGTTTTGTTGGATCAAAAGTCCAATTCCCTACACTGTCTTGTAAAGCGTTTATGCGATTACGTCTATATCTCTGTAAAGTAGACATGTGGAAAAATTTGGTGTTTGGATCACCGTCATTTAACCTATAAATTCTTGCTTTCAATTTCCAAAAGTCTTCTTCTTACCTAAGTAAATCACTAAATTCGTGAGTTAGTTGTATTTCTAAGGTCTGGAGGAAATGGCTAGTAGGATAGTAAATTGATTTTTGTATGCCATTAATTCTATTTAATAATTTCCTTTTTTTGGTGAAAATATTCCCAAAAGTATGCTTGTTACAATAAGTTGCATTCTCCTTAAAATTTGTCAAGGCTTCTACTAAAGATGAGCTATGTTGCCATGACTGTTATATTACATTAATAAGGGAAGAGTTTTGTCCAAATTTTTTCAAAATGGAATATGTTATTTCTAGGGACCCTATTTTGTTGAAGTGTGACCAAAATAGGACAATGGTCAGAGTATGTGCGTGGAAGATGTTGAAATACTGTTTCAGGGTAAATTTGGATCCAATCACAGTTAGCTAGTATTATATCCAATCTCTCTAGAATATTATTCCTATTCCTACATTTGTTTGTCCATGTATACTGACTACCCTTAAATCCTAGGTCTAGTAAGTTAATATAATTTAGACATTGCGTAAAAGCATCCACCCTTGTGTTGTTAATAGGATTGCTTCCAAATTTTTTATTTTGTCTAATGACCTCATTAAAATCCCCTCCAACTAGCCAGGGACCCTTATAAGAATCATGTACACATTTTAAATTATGCCACAATAAGCTACATGATTGAATAGTATTATTTGCATAAATTAAGGAAAGCAACCACTTGGTAGTGTTAGGAAATACCTGGACCATGCAGTTTACCTCCTGTGTAGTCACTGTTAGTTCATCCACAATTACTAAATCTACATTCCATAGTAAAGCTATACCACCTGACATTCCTTGCGCCTCAACTTGTACCATGTGTGAGAAGTTAAAATCATTTTTTAAAACTGTATGGTCATGCATGCGTGTCTCTAGTAGTGCAACTAAGACAGGTTTGTAGTTGTCCAACAGTGATCTAAACTGTCGTCTAAATTCTGCATTATTTGAGCTCCTACAATTCCAAACGATTAAATTCATAATAGGTTGTGGATTGTGTGGTTCATCTTGGTCAGCTACTTCAGTTGTCCCTCCCAGTGGTGCTTGAGAGTTCTGATGTGTTGGAGTAGTCATTCTCAGAGGTGGTATTATCACCATCGAGTATTTTTCCTCTTGTTGCTTTGTATTTACCCTGAAGTTTACACTGCATGTTGTTAGGCATGATTTCTACAAAAAGGGGACTGATTCTTAAATTTATGGATATAATGTCTGATTTTAGCCATTTAGATCCTAAAAACATGTTGTCTAAGAGTGGCCATAACATGCAGAAATTTGAAACAAGTCCTATGGGAATGTTATCTAAATGTTGAATTAGACGTGCAGAATTTAACGAATCCTATAGACAGGTTCTCTAAATACAGAGTTAAACATGCAGAATACAAGTCATATAGGCATGGCATCTAAGAGTGGTAATAAACATGCAGAAATTTAAACAAGTCCTATAGGCATGTCTTCTACCCTTCTACAGCTAAACATGCATAATTACCCATCCCGTTTCACTAGCCAACCCCAATGTTTATTACAACTTATTATAGAACAAATAATGAATTGCACCAGAAAAAGTGTAAAGAAGAAGTTACAACCAGAGGAAGCCTGATTCTTGACTTCCTCTCTGAGTTATGGAATAAACCACCTCAAATGCCATTGTTTCAAAGCCTTTCTCAGACTTGAGTGTGTCAATGTTCCCTAAGGGTCTCAAGGGGACCCCGGGAAGTGCTCACACCCAAGTTTGTATAACCAGATAGAGATGAGTGCAGTGTGGAAGGGCCAGCCCTTATGTGTCCAAGTTCAGAGGAAGCTCATGGGTCCCAAGGCGAGGCTCACATAAGAGGGGGAGAACCTAAGTCTAAGAGTATAGTGGAAGTGCAGAAGCAGAAATTTGTTTAAAACTGGGTTGAGAATAGCAAGGGGTAAGGATAGTTTGGAAAACAGTAGTAGTATAGCCAAAATTATAGAGCATCAGTAATTGCTCAAAGGGGGCAGGGGTTTGGGAATATATTGCAGGTAGCATATGACCCTAGGAGGAGTCAAATCTGGACATGCACAACAATAAGTAATGCTGGCATGCCCATAAACCAGCCAGAAGACACAACACATAGAGAGGACACGAAGCATATGATCCTGGGAGGGTCAGGTTTGGGTCATGCACAACAATGTCTAATGTTGACATGCCCTCAAACCAACCAAGGAATACAAATACATAAGGGATATGGGGTGTGGGATTCATAAGTCATCATAGGTGACTGACAGAGTTCAAACATTAGAAAAAACGTTAATTCAGAAGAGGAGGGGGCAGATCACAACATGCTTAATAATGGAACTTGATTAAACACAAACGGGAAACAAGCAAGAGTGCAAGAAATAGTAAAGAAGCATGTTGTTATTGATGCTGAAGATTAATTAGAACATACCAGTAAAGAAGCAAATGCAGAAAGAAAGTATGCAAATTTCCCACAGTCTAGCCTTGGATTTTAGCCGGCTAGGTAAGGTAGCAACACAAGTAGTAACAAAGAAAAGAGAGAGAGTTTTGAGTGAAGTGTGTGTTCTAAACTCAAGTGTTCGTGTCGTTTTTCTTTGAAAGAAGAGGGGTGCAGGGTATTTATAGTTTTTGAAAACGAGTGAAGGAAAAGTAATAAGATACAAACCTAGAAACAATCATAGGTCAGAATCAATTGCACAATTGATTCCCTTTAATTAAGGAATCATTGTTTAATGGTAGTGACAGATTCAAAATAAGGGAAGAAAGTTAGTCTGTAAGCAGACTGATTATTGCCATAAAAGGAGTAGTAAAACCATTAAGTAAGCAATCAAGTCTCAGTATAGAGATATGCTTATTTTGGGAAAGAAATCAGCAAGGTAAATATCATAGTAAAGGAAAAGAATCAATCAGCTTTTAATAGGAGAGTGAAATTAGGGTTCATAAAGGAAAAGCTTTAGAAATCAATCATAAGATAAAGATCAATCAAGGAAGAAACTCCAGCATATAAATAGAGTGAACAAGACATCAGACATGCGAGGCCAAACGTATTGGCAAAAGAAACAGCATACAATAGCAGCAAGAATAAGCATACGGTTCAGTAGATAGTTAGGGCTCACACATATAGCCAAAGCAAAGAAGAGAGTCAAAAGCAAGCAAAGGTCTCACAGTAACAAGTGAGGAAACCTCTTGAAAAAGTTAGGGTTTCAACAACTGTTGAGTTTAAAGGATAGTAAAATCAGAATCAAATAACCACATAAAGAAAAGAGCCAGAAACAAAGAACTGTAATCGCATCACGTGCATGCTCAAACAAACAGTTCCAAGCCAAGAAGACCTAGGGTTTTCAGCAATACTCGAGTTTAAAAGATGGTAAACAGACAAGTCAAGCAAGAGTTTAAACAAACAAGCACACATCTAATAATTATCTTCAGGACTCGATTGAGACCCAAAAGAAATTAGGGTTTTCAACATGCTAACTCAGATAGAAGAACAACACGAGCAAAACATAGCAGAATCACAAATATGTTAAAATCATAGAAGGGATTTTG